CTAAATTTTAGATATTAGTTTCCTATCCATGACACCTAAAATTTCCTTCTAAAAGCCAAACTTGTAATTCATTATATTTAAAAGGATTTAGGGCACCTGGGTGGCTCAGTTGGTTAAGTGTCTGCCTTCAGTTCAGGTCATGATCCCAGGACTCTGGGATCATGCCCCACATCTGGCTCCCTGCTCAGTGGGGAGTCTGCTTCTCCCTCTGCCCTCCCTCCTCCCACCCCCACTTGTGCTCTTGTGTTCTCCCCCTCCCTCTCTCTCCCTTGCAAAAATAAATAAAATCTTTAAAAAATAAAACCCAGGCGCCCCTAAAAATAAAATCTTTAAAAAAAATTTTTTTTTAAGATTTCTTTATTTTTATTTGACACAGAAAGAGCGAGCACAAGAAGAGAAAGCAGCAGGCAGAGGGAGAAGCAGACTCCCTGCTGAGCAGAGAGCCCGATGTGGGACTCGATTCCAGGACCCCAGACCATGACCTGAGCCAAAGGCAGCCACTTAACCGACTGAGCCACCCAGGTGCCCCTAAAAAAATTTTTTAGAAAGAAAAAATCAGGGGCGCCTGGGTGGCTCAGTCGGTTAAGCGTCTGCCTTCGGCTCAGGTCATGATCCCAGGGTCCTGGGATCGAGCCCCGCATCGGGCTTCCTGCTCTGCGGGAAGCCTGCTTCTCCCTCTCCCACTCTCCCTGCTTGTGTTCCCTCTCTCGCTGTGTCTCTCTCTGTCAAATAAATAAATAAAAATATTTAAAAAAAGAAAAAAAGAAAGAAAAAATCAGGGGCGCCTGGGTGGCTCAGTCGTTAAGCGTCTGCCTTCGGCTCAGGTCATGATCCCAGGGTCCCGGGATCGAGCCCCGCATCGGGCTCCCTGCTCAGCGGGAAGCCTGCTTCTCCCTCTCCCACTCTCCCTGCTTGTGTTCCCTCTCTCGTGCTCTCTCTGTCAAATAAATAAATAAAATCTTTAAAAAAAAAAAAGAAAGAAAAAATTAGGTCAAGCAAACAATAAGGACAAGAAAAAATAATAACTTTAATTTGAAGTGAAGTCAGATCTACTAAAATACTGAGCTGTTTACTTTGGGTTATAAAACCTGTTTGCCATCTAAGACAAGTACACCATTAAAGAATATATTATCAAAAGCATTTCTTTTTCTTTCTTTTTTTTAAAGATTTTATTTATTTGAGAGAGAGAGAGACTGAGAGAGAGAGCACATGAGAGGGGGGAGGGTCGGGAGGGTCAGAGGGAGAAGCAGACTCCCCGCCGAGCAGGGAGCCCGATGCGGAACTCGATCCCGGGACTCCAGGATCACGACCTGAGCCGAAGGCAGTCGCCAACCAACTGAGCCACCCAGGCACCCCAAAAGCATTTCTATAGTATATTAGAGATGACCTTTCTTAGGATCTTTCCCACTTTTAGTATCATTAATCTTCAAAAAAGGCAGCATAAAACCAGATAAAGCAAATACAAAACCTATTAACTGGTCAAATTATAACATTTAACAATATGTGCTATAACCCTTGGCACTCATCTTGAGGAATGCTGCTGAGATATTTAAGTTACAGGTCTCTAAACTCTTGAATTGTACAAATAACAGCATCTACCCAGTAGTTGTCACAGTTGTCATTTTTGACTCTGGGCATTTATCAAATATACAGCAACTTACGGTCCATCCAGGGGCTTTAAGAGCAAAGGCACCAAGAAGCTGGGAGAATATTTCAACTATCAAGACCTATTCGGGGCACCTGGGTGGCTCAGCCATTAAGCATCTGCCTTCGGCTCAGGTCATGGTTCCAGGATCCTGGGATCAAGCCCCGCATCGGGCTCTCTGCTCGGCAGGAAGCCTACTTCTCCCTCTCCCACTCCCCCTGCTTGTGTTCCCTCTCTCGCTGTGTCTCTGTCACATAAATAAATAAAAATTTAAAAAAAAAAAAAAAAGACCTATTCAAAGAAGGGTTACCACCTGGAGGAAATGAGGTGGAGAAAGGCAAGTAACACTTCTTAAATAAACACCATATGCCAGTGTTAAGCTAGAGGAATTAAATGCGTTCTTGCATTCAATCCTCATAAGAGCTTAAGAACCCTGTGTTTCAATAGGGCCAAGAAACTGACATTTGTTGGCATAAACCTTTATGGATTTGATTCTTTAGATTTTTTAATGTGCTATATATAACACTTGTGTAAAAATAAATTTGGTTTTTTTTTTAAGCAGGCTCCACACCCAGCATGGAGCCCAAAAATAAATTTGGTTTTTAAATAATTATAAAACTATTAAAAAAAAAAAAGGAAACAAAAAACCCAGCCCTCTGAACCAAGTATCATAATTAATACATACCAAAGAGGAAACTGAGGGTCAGAAATAATAATTTACTCAAACTAACATGGCAAAGCTGAAAGACTTTTTTTTTTTCCCCTGAGAGAGGAAGGGGCAGAGGGAGAGGAAGAGAAAGAAGCCCAAGCAGGCTCCATTCCCAGCGCAGAGCCCCAGATGGGGCTCGATTTCATGATCCTGAGGATCATGACCTGACCCGAAATTAAGAGTCAGATGCTTAACCGACTGAGCCACCCAGGCACCCCAAAGCTGAAATACTCTTAAAGCCCAAGTTCTTCTACAAGAAACCACCCCCCTAAGGTGGTTATTATTCTAAGTCCAACTTATAAACTATGTCAATCAGGTTGCTAAAGAAATTTGAATCCTGTGGAAGGAAACCAACCACTGATTACTGAAACTCAACATTTTAGTGAAGACACTAGGTAACAGCTGTCCTGAGGTATTTTGCAGTCAACATTTCCACAAAAAGCTCTCCAGTCCTCTTTTTGGTATTTTATAAAGGATGAACTATTCATTCCCATGTGGGAAGATAACTTAGCAACAGATTTCCTATTTTCCCACATTCCTAGAATTTATTTTATTTATTTATTTAAGATTTTATTTGAGAGAGAGAGAATGAGAGAGAGAAAGAGAGAGAGCGAGCACATGAGAGGGGGGTAGGGAAGAGGGAGAAGCAGACTCCCTGCTGAGCAGGGAGCCTGATGTGGGACTCAATCCCGGGACTCCAGGATCATAACCTAAGCCGAAGGCAGTTGCTTAACCAACTGAGCCACCCAGGTGCCCCCCTAGAATTTATTTTTTAACTTTAAGGATTTTTATTTATGGGGCACCGGGGTGGCTCAGTTGGTTGAGCGTCTGCCTTAGGCTTGGGTCATGATCTCAGGGTCCTGGGACCAAGTCCCACATCAGGCTCCTTGCTAAGCAGGGAGTCTGCTTCTCCCTCTGCCTGTTGCTCCCCCTGCTTATGCTCACTCTCTGACAAAAAAATAAAATCTTAAAAAAAAACTTGAGAGTGTGCACACACAAGCGGGGGGAGGGGCAGAGGGAGAAGCAGACTCCCCACTGAGCAGGGAGCCCGATGGGGCTCAATTCCAGGATCCTGAGATCATGACGTGAGCCAAAGGCAGATGCCCCACACATGCCTAGAATTTAAAAGCATTCGAATTTGAAGTATTATGAGTTATGTTAATAAGTGATCTCTGTTGTCCTGCATTTCAGCCCCATATTTACCATCCTGACAGACATTTCCAACTGGAGGTTTCTTGGCCCCTTAAAGTATGTCCAAAAAAGTTTGTCCTCCTAACTTCCCATTTCATTAATAGAACCACCATTCTCCTAGTTAGCCAGGTCTGAAAATTCAGTATTTAGCATTGGACTTGGAAGAGGAGAAGTCAACCATTAGTCAATGTCTGGAAAGTCTCCCTGCAAAATGTGTCAACACTGACACACCAAGTCCATTCTCAGTGCTGCCGTACCAGATTAACCTAATAAGAATTGATAGCTTACAATATTAGTTTGTTTCTTTAATCTTCTAAGAAAATGGTATGCTTTCCATTTATTCAAGTTTTATACTTTTAGTTTTATATAGTTTTTTCATTTAGGTCTTATTTACTAATAATTCATAATAATTTAGTAATTTTTGTAACCATTATAAAAGAATCTTTTTTTTTTTTTACATGCTAACTGGTTATTGTTGGGATCCAGAAAAACTATTAATTTCTGTATATTCTCTCTGTAGCCAGTCACCATTTGTTGTTGTTTTTTTTTTAAGATTTTATTTATTTGACAGAGCGAGAGAGCGCAAGCAGGGGGAGCAGGAGAGGGAGAAGCAGGCTCCCCGCTGAGCAGGGAGCCAGATGCGGGACTCGATCCCGGGACCCTGGGATCATGGCCTGAGCCAAAGGCAGACGCTTAACCGACTGAGCCACCCAGGTGCTCCACACCAGTCACCATTTTAAACTAATTACTAGTTCTTATTACTTTTTAGATGTTGTTATTTTTTTGTGTGGGAAATCACATCTGCAAAAAATCTTTATTCTTTCCCAGTTTGTATATAATTCTTATTTCTCCATCTTAAAGGAATCTAGGGCCTCCAATATAACAATGAAGAACAGTGAAGACAGCAGGCATCCTAGTTGGTTCCTAAAATATAATTCAAATACCTTTATGTGAACACAATTTTTTTTAAGTAAACTCCACACCTAATGTGGGGCTCAAGCTCACAGCCCTGAGACCAAGAGTTGCATGCTCTACCAACTGAGCCAGGTAGGCTAATGTGAATACCTTTAAACTTTCTCAACTAAGTGGTATGTTTCTGTAGGTTTCTAACTTCTTCCTTAGAAGACAATACTTCCCAAGCGCATGGTGGTGAGGAACAGGGAGACAGAGAATTCCAAGCAGACTCCATGCTGAGGGCAAAGCCCGACTCGGGGCTCAATCTCATGACCCTGAAATCATGACCTGAGCCAAAATCGAGTCGGACGCTCGACCGAGCCACCCAGGCACCCTTCACTTTGTATTTATTACAAAACCTAGTATAATGATTTGCTGACCAAATATTTTTTCTCTAGAAATCATTCAACTCCTTAATTCGCTAATGCTAACTAGTGAATTCTCTATAATAGGTAAGTGAATAAACATTTTATAATCTTGTAATAGGAGCAAATTACTCACTGTAATAAGGTCATCTCTTGCTCTGAGGACTTTGAGCCTTGCTTGATTCATCAAATTAGACATCTGACTGCAAAAGGTATGGAAAAATAGTATCAGTATAGCATAAGAAAAAAACTGCAGAGAAATAAATATACAGCTTCCTTTGTATGTACAGATACTTCTCTTTGTATATACCTCAGAGAACCCCACTAAAATACATTTAGTGGTTTCTACCAACTTATTTTCAAAGATAAAGTATTTATTGAGTGCTTACCAAGTGGCAAGCACTTTCATATCAGTTATTACAACTTTCTTTCAATAATCCTGTGATGCTTCCATTTTCACAAATGAAGAAAAAGAAATTACACAACTTGCCCAAGGTCATACAAGTATATTAAGTGGTCCAGTTAAGACTTGAGCCCATACCTGCCTGACTCCAAAGCACCTGCTCTGTCCTCTTGTCCCACTGACTTTTTTTTTTTTTATTCGAGAGAGAGAGCGTGAGAGAGAGCACAAGAGGAGGTAGGGTCAGAGGGAGGAGCACACTCCCTGCTGAGCAGGGGGCCCGATGCGGGACTCGATCCCAGTACTCCGGGATCATGACCTGAGCCGAAGGCAGTCACTCAACCAACTGAGCCACCCAGGCACCCCATCCCACTGACTTTTTAAAGCTTCCTTAGCTAATATGGTACGAGGATCTACGTACATTTTCTTCTGCTGCTCAATCTGCTTTTCTTTCTTCTCGTAGTATTCCATAATCTTCAGTCTTTGGGTTTGCACAAGACGACCTTTCTCAATGTTGAACTCTTCCTCTGCCTATCAAGGAAACAATTATTATTAATTCATTACACCAGATTCTGAGTTTTATTTTAAGCAGCTGGCAACCAGCAGCACTGTATTCCATATCAAAAATAGTTAGTTTATTATGACTTGTCTTCAAAATTTATTTCTAATTTACTCAAAAGGGATAACCAATGATTTTCGACATAAATGATGAACCAGAAAACTAAAAATTTGATCTAGGATAATAGTACCCACGGGCGCCTGGCTGGCTTAGTTGGTAGAACATACCACTCTTGATCTCAGGGTCATGATTTTAAGCCCCCCACGGTGTGTGGAGCCTACTTAAAATAAAAATTAAAAAAAAAAAAAAAAGATTGGGCGCCTGGGTGGCTCAGTCGTTAAGCGTCTGCCTTCGGCTCAGGTCATGATCCCAGGGTCCTGGGATCGAGTCCCACATCGGGCTCCCTGCTCGGCAGGAAGCCTGCTTCTCGCTCTCCCACTCCCCCTGCTTGTGTTCCTGCTCTCGCTATCTCTCTGTCAAATAAATAAATAAAATATTTAAAAAAAAAAAAAAAAAGATAACAGTACCCAGTCACAAAGTTACAAAGGATATATTCAGATAGAAGATTCTGTATGTGAAAAAAAATCATTATGTATTCTAAATTTAATCCATTTGACTACAGAATTTGGAGCTTACATCTGGGTTACTGCCTAAAAAAATTTGGTCAAGTAATCTCAGTCTTAGTCCTCCCTTATAAAATAATTAAAATAGTATTCTTCGGGTGCCTGGGTGGCTCAGTTGATTACGTGTCTGACTCTTGGTTTCAGCTCAGGTCACGATCTCAGGGTTGTGAGATCGAGTCCCACGTGGGCTCCAAGCTAGGCGTAGAGTCTGCTTGGGATTCTTTCGCTCCCTCTGCCTCTCCCACCCTACCTCCCTTTAAAAAAATAAATAGGGGGCGCCTGGGTGGCTCAGTCGTTAAGCGTCTGCCTTTGGCTCAGGTCATGATCTCCAGGTCCTGGGATCGAGCCCCGCATCGGGCTCCCTGCTCGGTGGGGAGTCTGCTTCTCCCTCTCCCTCTGCCTCTCCGCACTGCTCCTACTCTCTCTCTCTCTGTATCTCTCTGTCTCAAATGAATAAATTAAAAAAAAAAAAATTCTAAAAAAATAAAAAATAAATAAATAAATAGAACAGTATTCATTCCTCATAGGTCAAATAAGTAAGATAAATCTAACAGTCCTTTTAAAATTATAAGTTATATAAATGTAAGTTGTTTATGAGTATAAATTATTGAGCAGTTACTTTTTGTTTTAAATTTTTAAATTTTTTTCTATTTTACTGGGAATACAAAGCAACATTACAGTTTCAGATCATTAAATAAACAAATGTGGTGATACAGTACAACAACAATCATGACCTGAATTCTGGGAGTAGGTAGTTTTCCAGTGCAGGGGGTAGGAGAAAACCACATTACTCAGCTACCAGAGGGTTTTGGCTTTAACTCAATGGCTGGAAGGAGTGCCAGTCCTGGTCAACCATCCATGAATCTTTTTCTTTCTTTTTTTTTTTAGAGCTATACCCATAGCTCTATGCCCAACATGAGGCAGGAACTCATGACACTGTGATGAAGAGTCACATGCTCTACTGACTGAGCCAGCCAGGTGCCCCCATCCATGAATCTTCATCACAGCAAACTGGAATCTCCAATGTTTCAAACTAATTGTAGGAAGAGAGAATAACTCTAGGCTGATGTATAAATTGATCTAGATGACTACTAAAGTGTCCTCCATTCATAAGTTGTCAAAATCTTCAGAGTGACTGCTGGAGCAAGGAGGCTTTCATATGCTCCCAGTTATATAGTGTGCAGAGGCTAGGAAGCATTAGTCCTGCTAGAGCACCTTGTGCTACCCCTCAAAGACCGCCTGTACATATATACAACATGCCTGTCACAGTTCCAGCTGTTTCTGTGTTAAGGTCATCTTCTGCACCTCCTGTTTTCTCAATGATGGCTCCAAATGTGCTACAGAACAAAGCCAGAAAACCTAGCGCCAACCGACTGAGCCACCCAGGCGCCCCAGAAAACTCTTATTATTAAGTATAAATCAAATATAGAAAGACTTTGAATGACAACCTAGAATATATTTTATAAAGAAGTTTACAGTAACTGATCTATGTTAAAAAAATCCAAAACATTTTAACGGACAAACTAGCTTGCAATTAAGTTTTCTGGGGGAAGAATATACTTAGGATATCAAATAAAATCAAAGTGTGGAATATTAGAGAATATAAAGCAGGATTAAAGGGAAATACTCAAAGAGAAAGAAAAAGCGGTCTAACTAGAACATGCAGAGAAAGCAGGCGGTATACTATGTCTGCTCCCGGACTAGAGCTAAGCGGCCAGAGTGAACGCTCAGCACCCTCTCAAGGAAGCACAGTTCTGCCTTGCACCAACGGCAGGCGCCACCAGAAGAGCGACAGAAGCCACTGGAGGAAGACGACAGGACAGCCCTCTTCCAGCAGTGTAACACCATCACAGGAATGGCTCTATCTGGACAGCTGACTACTGCTGGAAGAGCGGTCATTTTTTAAAAGGTGATCTTACCAGTGTGTCAGATGTCTATGATTTTTAAGCAGTATGAAATGATTTTACAAAGTTTGCTAGAGTCGTCCACTTGAATGTTTAATGGTTGGCACAGGTATTCGAGCTTTTATATTCTAAAAGAAATGCCTGGGGCACCTGGGTGGCTCAGTTAGTTAAGTATCTAACTGACTTCGGCTCAGTGGGTTCCCTGCTCAGCGGGGAGTCTGCTTTCCCTCTCCCTCTGTACCTCTCCACCCTGGTGCTCTCTCCCTCTCAAATAAATAAATAAAATCTTTACAAATAAATAAATGAAAAGAAGTGCCTAACAGCTTTTTTCTATACCTATCATGGGAAATAAAGATGACTGTGTTATACGAGATACAATGCTTTTTTTTCTTTAAGATTTTATTTACTGGCCAGAGAGAGCGAGCAAGCGCACAAGCAGTGGGAATGGCAGGCAGAGGAGAAGCCGACTGCCCGATGAGCAGGGAGCCCCATGCAGGACTCAATCCCAGGACCCTAAGATCATGTATGACCTGAGCCAAAGGCAGCCGCTTAACTGACTGAGCCACTCAGGCATCTCGATATAAGACTATTTCAAATAGGAATGCATTTATCAGCTGAAATAGAATTTCTACACTTGTCCCAGAGGGAAATAAGGGCACTAGTCATACAAGAAACTGAAGTGCTCCTATGACCATCAAACAAAATTAAACAATACTCCATCAGCTGTTAAGATTATAGTAGTGGTGGGGAGCCTGGGTGGCTCAGTCATTAAGCGTCTGCCTTTGGCTCAGGTCATGATCCCAGGCTCCTGGGATCGAGCCCCGCATCGGGCTCCCTGCTTGGCAGGAAGCCTGCTTCTCCCTCTCCCAATCCCCCCTGCTTGTGTTCCCTCTCTCGCTGTGTCTCTCTCTGTCCAATAAATAAATAAAATCTTTAAAAAAAAAAAAAAGATTATAGTAGTGGTAGGCAAAAGAGTCTTTTCTTCCTTAAATGATAAAAAAATTTTTTTTAAGATTTTATTTTTAAATAACCTTTACACTGGAGCTCAGGAGCACTGTGAATGAGGGCACATCGTGCTAGAGCTCTCAGAGTTCTTGGGGGGAAATGTTGATAGTACTGATGACCCCCATCCTCTGCACCAGCGCTGCGCAGCTCATCTCCACAACACCGGCAGCCTCTGCCTGAGCTTCCAGAATGCCCGGGACCTGCTGCTGGGGGACCACTGTGTGCCTGACTGCGCTTCTGGATACAACAGAGGAGCTTGTAAACAATGTCACTCCTGCAGCATCTGCCAGGGGACAGGACCCTACTCCTGCACCTCGTGTAACACCAACCTCGTTCTGTCCCACTTGGCACTGCAGCACCACCTGCTTCCCAGGGCACTATCTTCATGACAACCGTGCTTGTCAGCGTAGGTTTTTATTTTTTTTATTTATATATATATTTTTAAGATTTTGTTTATTCACTTCAGAGAGTAAGGGCACACAAGCAGGGGGAGAGGGAGAAGCAGGCTCCCTGCTGAGCAGGGAACCCGCCGACGACGTGGGGCTTGATCCCAGGACCCTGGGATCATGACCTGAGTCAAAGGCAGACGCTTAACCAACTGAGCCACCCAGGCACCCCTGATAGCCTTTATTTTTATTAAAAAAAAAAAAAAAGTTAACCTACAAAGGCATATGAATGCCATTAACAGATTATAACTCAGGTATCAGCCTAACTAGGAAGTGCTGGGCTAGGGATCTCCTCTGCAAGTACCAGCTGTGTGATGTTGGGCCAGTCATTTAGCTTCTCTGTTCTCTAGTTAGCTCATTTTATTTTACTTTTTTTAAAGATTTTATTTATTTATTTGACAGAGACACAGCAAGAGAGGGAACACAAGCTGGGGGAGTGGGAGAGGGAGAAGCAGGTTTCCCACTGAGCAGGGAGCCCGATGCGGGGCTCGATCCCAGGACCCCGAGATCATGACCCGAGCCGAAAGCAGACGCTTAACGACTGAGCCACCCAGGTGCCCCAAATACTTTCATTTTTAAAATGAGCTAACTAGGGGCGCCTGGGTGGCTCAGTCGGTTAAGCGTCTGCCTTCGACTCAGGTCATGATCTCAGGGTCCTGGGATCCAACCCCGCATCGGGCTCCCTGCTCAGCAGGGAGTCTGCTTCTCCCTCTCCCTCTGTCTCTCCCCCGGCTTGCTCTCACGCTCTCAAATAAAATCTTAAAAAAAAAAAAAAAAGAAACTAAAGTTATATTAAAAAAAAAGAAAATAATGTATTAAACAATATATTCTGCCCATTATGATTATACTTAGGGAAAAGAACAACTTGATATACTGTGTATAAACAAACTGCAAATGGAAATATTTATAAAATTTCAAAATTGCTGACCAAGTATCACCTTTGTAATGGACAGGGGCTTTCATTTTATACCTTATACACTTCCAAACTATTATTTTTTTTTCAACAAGCACAAATTAATGAAAAAGAAAAATAACAACATAAAAATACTATACCCTCCCCTAACCAACTATCATAATTAGTCATAGATGCTAAATGTCTAGATTCCAGATTCCATGAGAAAATTTATCTATTACTTTTCTACTCCCTACCATAAAATTTCAGGATACTTACTGGCAATTAGAATGTTCAGAAAGGAAAATTAATCAATTAATTAGTTTACTGAGTGATAGTACAAAGCTCCCAAAGAGGGAGGGGACCGGAGAAGGTTGCCCAGGAAAATTTACTTTTTAACATTAAGGATAAGACACATTCTTAGCAGTCCTATACAATGTGTTGTGAAGCAATTTTACTAATTACTGCTTAGCAAAGCCACACTATGAAATTCTGAGAACTTCCTGAACCCACAAGATGGGAGTCTCACCTTTGCATCTATTTCCTCTGCTTTCTCATTGGCTTCTTGTTCAATAAAAGCCATCATATGCTTAATCTAGAAGGAAGAAGAAAGAAAAGGTTAGTTTATTTTTGACTATAACAAAAAAAATATATACATCTTTTCTGATTCATTCAATAATCAATCATTTACTGAAAGTATATTATGTGCCAGGCACTGTGTACAAGGACAAATGAGGTAATTCCTGGTTTCAGGTATCTTACAATCTGGAATTTGCTCTAGCAAATGGACCAGACACAATATTCAGTATCACACAGAACATTACCCTACTCTCAAGGAACATGGAGTCTATGGGGGAGGGAGGACTGAGTATATATATCCTCCTCTACTTCATACCCCTTTCAGCCGGCACCCTCTTTTCCTCTTCTCCGTCTATAATTAAACAGATTTATATTTACCTTTTCAACTTTTTTTAAAGATTTATTTTTAAGTAATCGCTACACACAACATGGAGCTCAAACTCACAACCCCAAGATCAAGTCACATGCTCTACTGAGCCAGCCACGTGCTCCATACTTTTTCAACTTTCTTACCTCCTACTCTCAACATACTTCAATCTGACTTCTACCCTCTCCACTTCACTGAAATTACTTTCATAAAATGACAATAATCTCCTAGCCCTTAAATCTTGGCCTTAATCAATCTTTCAGCATCTTTTGATATGCTGGTCAACCCTCCCTTCTCGAGTAAGAACAATCTCTTCCCTTTGCTTCCATGACTTCCTTGTCCTCCTTCAGTGCCATCCTCTTCTTCCTCTGCCTCCTAGACTGCTCTGTAGATAGCCTACTCACAGGAACCTAAATCCAACACACTCAATAATGAACTGCTAATCACTTCCCCTCTGCCCACTAAGATCTCTATCTTGAGGATTAGCACCAACATCTGACTTTGACCCTTTCTTGTACTTCAGTCCTCACATCCAATCAACCACCAAGTGCTATCAATTCTAATAGTTCTTTAATTTGTCCACATTTCTCCATCTTCATAGCCACTATCCTAGTCTTTGCTACCACCATCTCTCAGCTGAATTATTACAACAGCTTCCAATTTTGTCTCCCTGCCCTCAGCCTTGTTTCCTAATCAACTCTACACTGCAACCAAAAGGATCCTTTAAAAATGCCTGTTTCGGGCACCTGGGTGGCTCAGTCGGTTAAGCGTCTGCCTTTGGCCCAGGTCATGATCCCAGGGTCCTGGGATTGAGCCCCATATCGGGCTCCCCGCTCAGAGGGAAGCCTGCTTCTCCCTCTCCCACTCCCTCTGCTTGTGTTCCCTCTCTTGTTGTCTCTCTCTCTGTCAAATAAATAAATAAAATTGTTAAAAAATAAATTAAAAAATAAATATGCCAGTTTCATGATATATCACACTCTTCCCCCCCCCCCCCCCCCACCAATCTGCTTTACGATAAAGTGTAAAGATTTTAGAAGGTACGTGATCTGGTCAATGCTTACCTTGCCAGCATCATATGAAACATAACCGTCACCATTTGCCACTCTTCAGACTCTTGGTTCCTGTCCTACTAAACTTATTTCAGTTTTTCTGTTCCTTAAATTCACCACCCTCTTCCTCACTTCCAAGATTTCAAATATGCTGCTCCTTCCACTTGGAATACTCTTCTCCCTCCCTTCAGCTGGCTAAGTTCTCGGGATTCTTCTTGCTTAACTGTCACCTCCTTTGGCCAATCTTTCCTGAATTTCTCACCAATGTGCACCTAGGGCCCTCTGCACGTCCTCTACCTAAACACATATTCTTAATTCCTTGCTTACTTGTCCCTATCCACAACTAAACTATAAGGTGAGGTACCTGTTATAAGGCTTCTCTGGCTACAATCAGAGAATAAAGTCCACTGAAGTCTTCTGAATGGGGCTTGGGGTCACTGAACCAATTTAGACTCAAAAATGAAGTTTTCTTTTTTTTAGACTCATAAATGAAGTACTATCTCTAGTGGAAGATGTAAAAATAACACCCAAGTGAATATACAAGTACTACGGCTAATCAAACTCATTGGTAGTTTCATTTCATAGGGGCTCTATCTGAAAGAAATGATGAGTAAAAAAAGATGATTTAAAAAATACCAATAATCTCTAGGTCATTAATCATTGTGTTTATTTTATTTTTTTTAAAAAGCAATTTCAATTTTATTTATTTTTTTTAAAGATTTTATTTATTTGAGAGAGAGAGAATGAGAGACAGAGAGCATGAGAGGGAGGAAGGCCAGAGGGAGAAGCAGACTCCCTGCTGAGCAGGGAGCCCGATGCGGGACTCGATCCCGGGACTCCAGGATCATGACCTGAGCCGGAGGCAGTCGCTTAACCAACTGAGCCACCCAGGCGCCCTATTTTATTTTTTAAAAAGAATTTGAGAGAGAGAGAGAGAGAGAGAGAGAGAGAGAGAGAGAGAGAAAGAGCACACCTGCGGGGGTAGGGGCAGAGAGAGAGAAATCTCAAGCAGACTATGAGCTGAGCTCGGAGCCCGAAGCAGGGCTCTATCTCACGACCCTGGGATGATGACCTGAGCCAAAATCAAGAGTCAGATGTTTAACTGACTGAACCATCCAGGAGCCCCTAATTCCCTGTATTTATTAATTCTCCCACTTAAGTTCCATGAGTATAGAGATCTTATTTTTTACATCACCAAAACACCAGAACATGGAACAACTACCCCTGTAGGGGGTGCTCAATAAACATTTGTGAATGAATGAGAACCTGTTGGTATTTTAAGCCTCCTGAGATATCCCAAGTACTTTTTAGAGTTTAACGATCTGGAAACAATTCCCAGCTTCTCCAGGTACCACAAAGATACCATAAATCTAATGTACACACAGGTGAGTGAGGATTTGTTTTACAATAATGTGAATATGCTTAACACTACTGAACGGTGCAGCTAAAAATGGTTAAGATGGTGGCCGCCTGGGTGGCTCAGTCATTAAGCGTCCGCCTTCAGCTCAGGTCATGATCCTGGGGTCCTGGGATAGAGTCCCGAATCGGGCTTCCTGCTCCGCGGGAAGCCTGCTTCTCCCTCTCCTCTCCCACTCCCCCTGCTTGTGTTCCCTCTCTCGCTGTGTCTCTATCAAATAAATAAATAAATATCTTTAAAAAAAAAATGGTTAAGGGGCGCCTGGGTGGCTCAGTTGGTTAAGTGACTGCCTTCGGCTCAGGTCATGATCCTGGAGTCCCGGGATCGAGTCCTGCATCGGGCTCCCTGCTTGGCAGGGAGTCTGCTTCTCCCTCTGACCCTCCTCCTTCTCATGCTCTCTCTCATTCTCTCTCTCTCAAATAAATAAATAAAATCTTTAAAAAAAATTAAAAAAATAAAAAAATGGTTAAGATAACTAAGTTTTGTTATGTGTTTTATACATTTTTTAAAAAAGGGCATTAATAGGGGCGCCTGGGTGGCTCAGTCAATTAAGTGTCTGCCTCTGCTCAGGTGGTGATCCCAGGGTCCTGGGGTCAACCTCCCATCAGGCTCCCTGCTCAGTGGGGAGTCTGCTTCTTCCTCTCCCTCCCACTCCCCTTGCTTGTGCTGTCAAATGAATAAAATCTTTAAAAATAAATAAATACAATAAAAAGGGCACCGACAGGGCACCTCTCTGGCTCAGCTGGTTAAGCATCTGCTTTGGCTCAAGTCATAATCCCAGGGTCTTGGGATGGAGGCCCGCATCTGCTCAGCGGGGAGCCTACTTCTCCCTCTGCCCACGCCCCACTTGTGCTCTATCGCGTGCACACTCTAATAAAATATTTTAAAAAATTAAAAAATATAAAGTGCATTACTAATCCAACCTCGTGGTATCAAAGTCTTAAAGAAAAAACAGTATGGTTTGAAAGGGAAGATTTCTTTTTTGTCAAAATTCTTAGCAACTACCCTATGCTTGAGGAACCAAAATAATTATGATAATCAAAGCCTATTTCATAGGTAATACAATACTTATAAAATCTCAGGCCTTGAAATATTTGGGGTACCTAATCCAGAAGTACTTTGTATAGAAAATCACTGTGACCTTGCTAAAAGGATTAGCCCCCACAGATTGGTGTGTTCATGGTAAGGAATGGTATCTCCACAAGTTCAGTCTGAAGCCTTATTGAACTCAGTTTAGAATTTTAAAAGTTGTTTAATACAGTAATCAAAACAGGTGTTTATAAATGCTACAAGGCACAGTGGGCCTGTAGAGGTGAACCCTGATTCAAACCTGCATTATCTGCCTTTATCACTCATGCTGGACCCTCTACCAGATTTGACTAGATCAGCACAGCCTAGAGCAAAACACTCATTTTAACCCAGGTCAGAGAAGGCTGTTTACAGCCAACATGATCATATTCTGTCTTCAAGAGTTCCAACAAGAAAAATAGTCAAGCCCTTCAGGACATTTAACTCCATCCCTAAGGCAGAAAAATCTGGCCTTTAAAAGATACTCTCGCTGTGTCTCTCTCTGTCAAATAAATAAATAAAAATCTTAAATTAGAAAAAAAAAAAGGAGACTACCTCCTTTTTAAAAGATACTTTTCATCTTCCTGCTAACCCTACTGGGTTTTAAGTTTTTTGAAATCAGATTCCTTCAAAAACTGGATGAAGTAAATAACATTACTCCCCAGACAAAAAAGCAAATATACATAAATTTTAATACAATGGGGAAGAAGTTAAGGAATCCGCAATTTATAAGCACTTGTTATGTGCTTGATGCCTGGTCTATTCACTGCCCTGAGAATACAGGGAACAAAACACACTGCCCTTATGGAGCTTATGTGTAGCGTGGAGGGGTAGAGACCATAGAGACCCTTCATCTTTCAATTTTATGGAAAGAAAAAATGATTTTAGTCTAGATTCCAAGGAAATACACCACTTTATATTTTTCCTGGGGAAGGCTTTTTCTTCAATATATTATAACAAAGGGGTAGGGGGGGATGATGAAGGAACAAGTGGAAAAAGAGAATCAGCACTGTAACTGTGACTACTAGAAGATGTGGAGGACACTGTACTTTTCCACTGCACCAAGTTTTTCCTATAGTAAAAATCAGAAGCAGCAGTAATAAATGTAAAAACCCCATTGTTTTGTAAGAATATTATAAGATTTCTTAATCTTATCCATAGATGCTATCTTTGTTACACAATTTCCCTTTGTGATTATTAGCAGGAGACCACGGGTGAAGAAACACTCCACTTTTCTTAGTGCACGTTAGATTAAGAATAAAATGCAAAGTCATCTTCTAGGAAATGGAAATATCCAAGGAAAAAACATTTTATTGCTCACTTAAGAAGATTCATAAGCCAGTGAGTGAGCTTTAGTCAGAGAATTTTCCTAGTACTTCAAAAAGAAATACTTAGTTCTCTAAACTATAAAGATTAAATTGCAGGCATAAGTTTCCTTCTCTGAAAAATCTACTGGCAATATGACTACTAAATTCAAGGACCATGGTTTCAGAATATCTCTGGCAGGGCAAATGGAAACCATTTTTTCCCATGTTTGTTACAGGCCTATCAATGCCAATATATTTTCCTGGGAGTCTTTCTAATTGTAACTTTCTTAATGCCTACAACTTGAAGGTATGGCACATCAAACTAAACAAAAAAGCAAAACAAACAAAAAACCCTAGTTTCCCAGGACTGATATACTTGCAAAAATGATGCAGATTCACGACTTCCATAATTTTTTCCGTTAACCTTGACTTACTTACTTTGTGCCAAACGCTGGCGTTCATAAATCGAGAGGAATTCTGCATTATTATTAATAAACATTAACGTACACACTAGTGAGAGACCAACGATTACAATTCATTATGATAGAGGAGATCCTTCCAAAATGAAGATTAACAATTCAATGAATGACCTCAAAACAACATTGGAAGCAACTCTCTCCCTTCAGCATTCTTTATCGTACTGCGAACCCTTCCCTCAGGGTTAAAAATCAAGTGAAAAGGAGGTCTTCAATCCTTGCATTCGATTTGCATTTAAACCCTGTTTTCAATTCTCTGCTTTAACAACCACAGCGAATACCCTGGGAAAACAAGGGACGCCGAGGTGTAAGTCAAAAAGCCAGCACATTCAAGAACGCGGCGCACAAAACCGCAGCTGAAGACACAGGAGCTGTAGGTCAAATTCCCCTCTTGCAGACAGCCTATTAAGCCCGGGAGACTTGGAGTAAGGGACCCTCCTCCGGCATCTGGGCTGCCCGAGGCCCGCGTCCTCCAGTCCGCCACCCCCGGACCCGCACTGCGACTTCACCAGACCTAACCGCAGGTCCTACCTGCTTTTGCACGTCAGCATCGCTGAGCGCCATGGCGAAAGCTCTGCTAGGCCGGAGGCCCACTGGCTCTAGCTTAGGCTGGAAGGGGGCGGTGGAAGGAAGGGGAAAAGAAAATCCAGGGGAGCTTTCGACTTCCTTCGTTTTATAACTCCGGCTTCCGGTTCCTGCCAGGTGACCGCGCAGCCCAGCCCTGTGAGCTTTCTCAGCCAGTGGGAAGAGAGCGGGTCCGGGGAAGTCCCGCCCTGCCGCCCCCTGACTGAGCGCCTGCGCGGACGGCCTCTTCTCCGTCCAATCCCAGTCCATTTTACAGCTGGCTCGTGACTTCTGAGCTGTTTTCTTCAACAGCGTATTCCTCGGAAGAGAGGGTTCAGGAATTCAGGCGTCTGAAATTAGCCGAATTCTGTGTATTTTTCTAGCCTTAAAGCCCTTGCGTATTTTTTTAAAGTTTAATTATTTACTCCCAAATCAGAATTTATTATTTTGCTTTCCTGCCTTAATGAAAACAAATTAACCAATATTTTATTTATTAATAGATTTAATTTTTAGAACAGTTTTAGATTTACAAAAAAATTGAACAGGGCAGAGAGTTTTCATGTATCTTTCTCACCCGCACCCACAGATTCCCATATTATTAATATGTTATGATGGCATATTTGTTACAATTAAGTAATATTGATGTATTAACTCAAGTCCATAATTATTCAGATTTCCTTAGTTTCAACCTAATGCTAGATCCCATCTAGGATACTGCGTTTTATTTAATTGTCATGTCCCCTAAATTTCTTGGGTGTGACAGCTACTCAAACTTTCCTTCCTTTTTTTTTTTAAATTAATTAATTTGGAAAAAAAATTAATTAATTAATTTGTCAGAGGGGGAGAGAGGGAGACAAAGCACAAGCAGAGGAGCGGCAGCCAGAGGGAGAAGCAGGCTCCCTGCTGAGCAGGGAGCCCCATGTGGTGCCTGATCCGAGGACCCTGGGAACATGACCTGAGCTGAAGGCAGGCGCTTCAACGACTGAGCAACCCAGGCATCAGAGTACATGTATTTAATTACCAGATTTTTATTTTGAAGAAATTTCAAATATAATAAATTTTAAGAACAGTGCAATAAACTCCTTTCACCTAGGTTCACCAATTGTTAACATTTTGCTATTTGGCTTTATTACTTTTCATTAATCAAATTCAGGAAATTTCACAAGTCCATAATCAGATTTTGCCATATGTCCTACTAATATCCTTTGTAGAAATTTTTTTCTCATCCTGAATCCAGTACAAGATCACCTATTGTAATAATTGTCATGTCTTTTTTAGTCTTTTTTTTTTTTTTAATTTATTTGAGAGAGAGTGAGAGAGAGCATGAGCTGGGGGGAGGAGCATAGGGAGAGGGACAGAGAGTCTTAAACAGAGTCCTCGCCGAGTACGGAGCTAAGGTGCTCGATCCCACGACACCTGAGCCCAAATCAAAAGTATGATGCTTAACCAACTGTGCCATCCAGGCACCCCTTTTTAGTCTCCTTTAATATGGGATGGTTCCTCAGACTTTGTCTTTCCTGATAGTGACATTTTTGAAGAGTTCCACACATTTGAAGAGGCCAGTTGTAGAAAGTCCCTCATTTGGTTTTGTCTGATAGTTTCCTCATAATTAGATTCTGGTTATGCATTTTGGAAAAAGTCCTACATCTGTGATATTGTATCCTCAGTGCATCATATCAGAAAAGTACATTTCAGGGTGCCTGGGTGGCTCAGTCGTTAAGCATCTGCCTTCGGCTCGGGTCATGATCCCAGGGTCCTGGAATCGAGTCCCACATCGGGTTCCCTCCTCGGCGGGAAGCCTGCTCTCCCTCTCCCACTCCCGCTGCTTGTGTTCCTGCTCTCGCTATCTCTGTCTCTGTCAAATAAATAAATAAAATCTTAAAAAAAAAAAAAGTACATTTCAGTTTGTCCTTTAATGAGAATGGTACACACATTTTTAAGGCTCTTAATACACACTGCCAAATTGTTTTCCAGCTGTACTAGTGTACGGTAGTCTTTGTAGTGTGTGACAGATGGGTGCACAGTTTTGAGAAAACTGGTAATGTTGGTTAAGGGAAGGATTCAGCCACAGGACAATAAACTAACAGAGCAACAGAAATCCATGCGGTTGACCTTAACTTGATCAATATTTTTTTTTTAAGATTTTATTTATTTATTTGACAGAGAGAGACATAACAAGAGCAGGAAAACAAGCAGGGGGAGTGGGAGAGGGAGAAGCAGGCTTCCTGCTGAGCAGGGATCCCGATGCAGTGTTTGAGCCGACGCCTAACGACTGAGCCATGCAGGCGCCCCTGATCAGTATTTTTTTTAAGATTTTATTTATTTATTTGAGAGAGAGAGTGAGAGAGCACAAGCAGGGGGAGGAGCAGAGGGAGAGGGAGAAGCAGGCTCTCAGATGAGCAGTGAGCCCAACTTGGGGCTTGATCCCAGGACTCTGGGATCATGACCAGAGCCGAAAGCAGGCGCCCAACCCACTGAGCCACCTAGGTGCCCCTTGATCAGTATTCTTATCAACTGAGCTAAACCAGTTGATAGGCTTATTTCTTTCATCTTGATAGTTTCTGCATTAATAACTTCATTCTTTGCCATCCCAGAAGACAGATTTTGGGGATGCCTCCTTCTAGCATCCCTAGGTCACTCATTTGGATTATAATCCCTCCTCCCATTTATTTTTACAGTGTTCTGCAAATAACTGGGGGAATGGGAGAAGCAATCTAATGCCACATGTCTAATCATTGTGAAATTAATGTCTGGAACAGAACAATGTGCTCTTGGTATCTGGAAAGCAGTGTGCTGATTTTTATGATTTATTATTAATTTGAGACAATAAAAATAAAGAGTACAAAGAATAATTTAAACATTCATGTAGCATGTACCACCACCCAGAATCAACAATTAACATTTGTCACATTTGCTTTAAGACTTCATTTCTAAAGTAAAATAGTGTTACAGGTATAATTAACATTCCCTTTTGTGCAGCTTTCTCCTCCCCTACGTTAATGGTCTTTACAACTAGTTTCTGCAGTATTTTGCTGATTCACCAAGGAATGAGCCAGGTCCTGTGTGATAAGAATGTGGTAAGCTTCATAGAGACAGTCTCTGGAGTGAAAAAGTTATTATAAGTACAATAAAAGATTAACTAGTTAGTAGTTATCCAAATCCAATTTCCTCCTATATTATTTTAGGTCTTGTGAAGGAGCTTTATTAAAACAGCTTTTCAGATAAATTCCAAAAATCCCACTCCTAGATAAGCCTATTTACTTTTGGCTTCACAAAATCATTGTCCTAGATTCCTGTCAGGTTAGTCACAAACAGATGGTTTCTGTGCTCATTGCCTCACCTGCTCCCAAGCTGACACTTCAGTCTGTGGCTTTAGAAATTGAATCAGCGGGGTGCCTGCGTGGCTCAGTCCTTAAGCGTCTGCCTTTGGCTCAGTCCTTAAGCGTCTGCCTTTGGCTCAGGTCATGATCCCAGGGTCCTGGGATCGAGCCCCGCATCGGGCTCCCTGCTCAGCGAGAAGCCTGCTTCTCCCTCTCCCACTCCCCCTGCTTGCGTTCCCTCTCTCGCTGTGTCTCTCTCTGTCAAATAAATAAATAAAATCTAAAAATAAATAAATAAATTGAATAAACTAATGCTTGAACTTCTTTGCGGGTCAAAGGTGGGGTGGGGTGGGGGTGGATTGCGGTTGGGGGTTGGGGGTGCGTCTAGGGGTGGCTGGGTGGCTTAGGTGGTTAAACAGTCTCATGATAGGGGGTTCACGGCCCTCGGGCTTTATTTGGCTTTATTTTACTAAAAATAAATTTTTTTAAAATATAAATCATCTCTGTCTTTGAATGTTGAAGAATTGGGTGTTTGGTTTGGTTTGGTTTGTTTTTTTTCTTTTAAAGATTTTTTATTTATTTATTTGAGACAGAGAGAATGAGAGACAGAGAGCATGAGAGGGAGGAGGGTCAGAGGGAGAAGCAGACTCCCTGCCCAGCAGGGAGCCCGATGCGGGACTCGATCCCGGGACTCCAGGATCATGACCTGAGCCGAAGGCAGTCGCTTAACCAACTGAGCCATCCAGGCGCCCCTGTTTTGTTTTTTTTAATATTTTATTTTTAAGTAATTTCTACACCAAAGGTGGGGCTCAAACTTACAACCCCAAGAGTAAGAGTCACATGCTCTACTGACTGAGCCAACCAGGTGCCCTTTGAAGAATTAATCTTAAAAAGAAAAAACAAATGATACCAGAAAATAGTGAAATTCTAACTTAGGTGCCCGCACTTCCTACCCCTTTCCAACCAGTTTTCCACATAACAGAAATTGGTTTAAAACCTAGCTGGCGGCTCCCTGCTCGGCAGGGAGTCTGCTCCTCCCTCTGACCCTCCTCCCTCTCATGCTCTCTGTCTCTCATTCTCTCTCTCTTAGATAAATAAATAAAATCTTAAAAAACAAAAACAAAAACAAAAAAGGGGCGCCTGGGTGGCTCAGTTGGTTAAGCGACTGCCTTCGGCTCAGGTCATGATCCTGGAGTCCCAGAATCGAGTCCCGCATTGGGCTCCCTGCTCGGCAGGGAGTCTGCTTCTCCCTCTGACCCTCCTCCCTCTCATGCTCTCTGTCTCTCATTCTCTCTCTCTCAAATAAATAAATAAAATCTTAAAAAAAAAAACAAAAAAAACACCAAACCTAGCTGGCATCTAGCCACTTCCCAATTTATATCCTCTAATGTTTTCCATCTGCTTGTGAACACTTTACACCTCACATGGTCTGTGTGAGCGCTGCCTGATCTGGCCCTGCTTGCTTGTCTGACCTCATTGCTCCTCTTCCCTTTGCTCACCACCTTATAGCCTTACTTTTCAGTTCCTTGAAAACACCAAGCTTTTTGTCTGAATTCGTTTCGTCCACTTATCACTTAGCTTTTCATTCTTTATGGTCTTTACTTAAAATATCACCTCCTTAGAGAGAGCTTTTCATAAACACCCTTTACCTTCCTTTCTCTCCCAGCTTCTTCTTTACTTCAGGACATGCCACGGTTTTAAATTATTTTGGTTTTTTTCTTTTTGTTTTTAGGTTTTTGTCTGGTTTTCCAATGAAAATGTCAGTTTCACAACAGAGACCATGTCTGACCTACTTATCACTGTTTCTGCCAGCATCCAGCACACTGCCTGGTACATAGTAGGGGTTCAATAACTAACTGATGAATGAGAATGAATAAAATGACTAGAGTCTAGAGTTTAGATTTTATTTACTATTTTTTTAGACTTTAGATTTTATAATCACATCAGGCTGCAGTCTAGGATTCTGTATACCTTAGAAGATCTGTCCAAAAAAAAGTCC